TGGTTTTATCAGCTGTTTGGACTCTCATTCTGATGGCACCCATTCGCTGTAATGCTAATGTAATGCTAAATTTCTCAATATTTTTTTTCTGATGTACTTTAAGTCTCAAGTATTTTACATGTGCTTTTGTATGTTAGTCAGCACATCAAAATAAGTGTACTTCTTTAAAGCATGACATAATTTTATTAAAACATGATTTAAAATTAAATTTTAATGTATAACTTTTAATTTGACATTATTACAAAGTGCACTTTCTACTTAAGTGTGTAAAGAAACACATTCAATACAGTTAAGTGCACTTCTTTTTGACAAGGGCCATACTTAATGAAGCTTAACTTCGAACTCTCTGAAGTCTCCAGAGATCTGAAAGAGAAATATCAGAGCAATAATATCTTCCTCTGGACATCCGGCACTTGTGTTAAAGGTCAGGAGCTTCCTGAGATCCGAATGTCCCGTTCTCAGCATTCCGGCCACTCTGTGCTCTTCCAGGATCAATTTCCTGCTCCTCGTTACTGGTGAAACAGCTTTGCCTCACATCTGCAGCTCCTTTGAAAATATCAAGCTTCTTGCTCTTTGCTCCTGAGGTCCCACCGAGCGGTCAAAACACAAACCTGAGTCGATGGAAAACCCATCCCACGTATCTGATCCCTATCTGGCCACAATTCATCAGCACTGGAGTCAGATCGCTCACGCCACCTTCAAGGACTCGATTCCTTCCCAAATAACAGCACTGCAGCAGTTCTCACTCACAGCTGCATAGAGCTGTACAATGACACGCTGGAGGTTTTTGATGATGCTTTGAGGACTGAAGTCTATGACGCAAATCTCTGAAAATGATTTGGAATCAAGAATTATTGCAAATCAATCCAGCGGTGCTTGTGAACCGTGTGTTATTCTCATTCCTACCAGACTGACTGATTTACGAGTTATTTGTTGACTACGGATGAGGTGAGCGAAAGTCATGAGGAATAATTAATAGGGATGCACCGATTATGCATTTTCTGTTTTTCATGGCCAACGATGGCCAATTTTATTATAATAAAATGGGTCGATTCTGATACCAGTTGCTGATTTTCTTTTATGAGCAAGTGACTAGAATGTTTAATGTTTAGAGCATGTAATTCTTTCTTACTATCAATGAAATTACTGCAATGCATTTTGTGTACAAGTCCAGAAGACAGATCAGACGGGAAAGAAAAAAAAAAAGTGTGGTGCATCTCTAAAAATTAAACTACAGCTGGCATTAATATAAGAGTTCAGAATGAAAATACTCTCATTTACTCACCCTCATGTCATTCCAAACCGTTGTCTTTTATTTGCTTTTGTTTCACTAAATGTTCCTGTAGTTCTGTTCCTGTGGTTCGATTCCCAGGGAATGCGTGAATTCATGTAATGAATACCTCGAATACAGTATGATTCCCTTTGGATGAAATCATCTGCCAAATGCATAAATGCAAATGTAATGTAATTTTTGGTTTTCGTTGTAATTTTATAGTAATTTTGTTATGTGCTTTCATGTTTTTTTTAATTCAGATTTAATTTATTTTAATCGATTGTTGTTTTAGCACATCTATTTTATTTCAGTTGGCAAGGAAACATTTCTGTTTTTTATTTATGCTTTTTAAGTTGAAGTTGTTCATCTAATATTTATATTTAAGTTAATGTATTTATTTATTTCAGCAACAAACACTTTTTAATAGTTTTAATTTTAGATTAACTTGTTTTAACATTTTATGCACATGTGCAAACAGGATTTAAATGCATTGGCAAATATTTTTTTACTGAATTCAATTTTGGTCTGTTTGTCACGGCAAGCTATCGTAAGACTTCTGAAGACTTACAGTGCATGACGCAATCATATTTTCTTGATGTTTTTTGTCATTTTTGGAGCTTGACACCTCCTGGTCACTCTTTCCTTTTATTGTAAGTTAATGAGCAGTATGAACATTTTGCTAAATATCTGCTTTTTTTTTTAGAGCAAGTCATGAGTGATATGAGAGTAAGTGATGACAGAATGTTCGCTTTGGCTGAACTAAATTAATTTTGACTGCATTTTGTTTGAATCATTGTTTTACGTTTGTGGTTATCTCAGTAACTTTGAGGACTTAAGTGAACTAATAAACACTTGAAACTTGTCAGATATCAGAAAGTTAGATGTACCGCTCTTCCAGTTGAAGTTGGATACATCTGACAATGCCGCTTTTAGTTTGAAGACGTCAAGAACCGTTAGAGAAATCAAAAGAGTGTCAGTATAAAGGGAGCCCGTTTACCTGCTATTTGATGCTTGGAAAAACCTGTTTGAAGCTGAGCAAATGGTTGTCTTTGTCAGGATGTCATTACTCAGCACTGATGTCAGAGTTCGCTACCAGAGCCTAAGGGCACAGATGGAGGCTCAGGAAGAGTCACAACCACCAAATCCATCCACAACCTTTATATATAATCATTAGAATGATTCATATTGTAATCTATTAAATTAGAAAATGGTTATTTTAAATTGGAATAATATTTCACTTTATTACTGTTTGATCAAATAAATGCAGCCTTGGGGAGCAGAAGAGACTTCTTTCAAAACCATTGAAAAATCTTAATTATTCCAAACCTTTGACCGCTGATGTTTATATATTGCATATTATATAATTACAGGATGAGCGTATTATACTATGACACCATATACAGTCTCAAAGAATCAACATACATCAACATTTAATCAGGCCTGTTTTTGCCATTATGATTTTTTGCACTGTAACATTATTTTCATGACCGTTAAATCCAGCCCACAGCTGACCGGTGTGTTGTCCGTGTCTCACAGAGATGTCGGGGACGGGGCCGGACATCTCGCAGGTGCACTGGAAGCAGCAGTGGCTGGAGAATGGGACGCTGTATTTCCACGTGGCTATGAGCAGCTCTGAGCAGCAGTCGCAGGTCACGCAGCCCACCGTCCAGGAACCACCACACGTCCTGCACGAACACATGCACCTGCTGCACATCTCCGTCATGGTAAGGACTGAACACACACACATCTGTACAAAACACAACTAACACCATCACAACTCATCTGGCTCACAGACCATCTGGATTTAGATATTCCAAAAAAACAAAACAAAAATCAACTCAAGTTCAGTTGCTTCCTTCAATTTTTAAGTATAATTTTCACTGCATGCAGACCTCGGAGTGCATATAGTTTCTTGCACTTTGCATACAACTGCAATGGGTTCGTCACACAGTGGTGCTCTGGCAGACCACTACTCTTAGACGAGACTAAGAATGAGAGAAAAATACTCAAAGCAATGATGGCTTAAAGGGTTAGTTCACCCCAAAATGAAAATTCTGTCATTAATTACTCATGTTGTTCCAAACCCGTAAGACCTCCGTTCATCTTCGGAACATAAATTAAGATATTTTTGATGGAATCTGAGAGTTCTCTGACCCTGCATAGACAGCAACGCAACTGAAATGTTCCCAGACTGAAATGTAGCAAGGACAATCGGTAAAACAGTCCCACGTGACATCAGTGGCTCAACTTCAATTTTGCGAAGCTACGAGAATACTTTTTGTGCGCAAAGAATACAAAAATGACGACTTTATTCAACAATTCTTCTCCCCCGAGTTACTGTCTTCTGCCATTTTGGAGAGTATCACTAATGCATACGCACGCTTTACCCTAAGTGTAAACAATGCTGATTACGCCGATTACGTTAATGTGCGCGTTTCCCCCCTAATGTAAATAACACCGATTACGTTCTTGGGTACTTTTCAAAATGGCAGAAGACGTAACTCGGGGGAGAAGAATTGTTAAATAAATTGTTATTTTTATCTTCTTTGCGCATAAAAAAGTATTATCATAGTTTCGCAAAATTGAAGTTGAACCATTGATGTCACATCAACTAACCCTTTAAATTATACCGCATCGTACTTGAAAAATTTATGTAAAGAAATACAAATTATTAAATGAAAAAAAAGACATTTACTTACCTGAATCAAAATGTGTGCTGTATATCCTAGAGTTGCTAGTTGCTATCCAGCCTTCTCGAGTCACTGCTGCAGTCCAGGCACGTTTCTCGGAAATCTGAACACTTATACACAGGAAAATACTGTAAATTCACACTCAATTTTTACAGTGCACTCAAAACAGCATCCACAAGCTTTACATGAGCAGCAGAGGGAAGTGAAAAATAAAGACAAGCAGCTCAATATCCGTTATTGCATGAGAACCAAACCGCAGTTTCCACTTAGCAAAATAAAAAAACACCATGCTCTCCTGTTCTGTATTTTCAGTCAGAAAACATTCTCTGTTTCCTCACAGATGTGTGTATGTAGTCCATAAACTGTCGGCCCCGATAAGTTCAAGACACTGATTTAGTGAATTAGCTGTCTTCCCACTGGTTCCGTCCAGCCCTGACCCTCCTGAATCCCTGAGCCCTGGGCCCCTGGGCTCCTCTCCAAATTGACTTTTTTTATTTTTGATTGGATTTTGTGCAATTCTTCAGTCTCCTCAGCCACTCCCACTGTCCAGTCATCTTCATCCCCTGTCAGTTCCTCTGTTTTGCCTCCTCTCTATATATCTGCCAGACTTGCTGCCCTTTCTCAGCTGGTTCCTCTAAACCCCTCAGCTCACCCTCAGTCAGTGCCATCCTGGAGCTTTGTCTCATTGTGCGTCTCCCAGTCTCCAGCTCTGCCTTGGTGTGAGGAACCCCCGTCGCCGCCTCCAGCATCCGAGGCCTGGATTCCACCTCAGCCCTTCAACCCATCGGCTCTGCCTTGTCTCCTAGCTCCCTCGTCTCCACCGTGGCCCGTCATCCCACTGGCTCCAGTGGGCTACCTTGTCCCTCTGGCTCTGCCTTGGTCAGTTGTCGACCCTCCATCGCTATGGGATTCCACTCCTCTGGCTTCACCTCCCTCTGGCTCAGTCGGGCTCCTCCTCCCCTCCGGCTCCTCCTTGGTCCTCAGTAGAGGTCTTCTACCCTTCAGGCTTCAGGTCGGGTTCAGGTTAATGTTTAACTAATAGCCTTGGGCTTGGGCCAGGTTCGGGTTTGTACCAAAAAAAAAAAAATATATATATATATATAGGCTATATAAATATATATTTTTTGGCATATATAACTTTTGCGCATGTGCTCCTGATCTCGCGTGCTTTTTCTATCATAACACAGTAGACAAAATGAGTGTGATAAAGCAAAAAATGAGTGAGGGGAAACTCATTACAGTGTCAAACAATGCAGGAAAAACTGCACAATGGAGGAATTACGATCTTGTACTTACAAGCAATAAAGAGCTCAGCGGTTACGTGCAGTGTAGGGCTTGCAAAGCTGCCTTGGCCTACGACAGTAAGAAGACAGGTACATCTTCTCTACAGCGACACATTGACCGTGGATGCACTCGTTCAAAAGCAGACTACCTATGGCCGCGTCCCAGCGGAGAGTGTGCTGCCTGATCCCACTTCCATCTCTTGGAGATGTAAGGAAGCTGCAGCCTCAAAACGACAGAAAGTGGTCAAAGAAATATCGGATATTAGTGTTCGGATGACCACTGACATGTGGACTGACGATTACCACAAGAACAGTTTCTTAACAATCACTTGCCACTACATCACTCCAGAGTTTTTGCTTTGAAGCAGAGTCCTTGCTACAGCGACGTTCCCCCCTGAAGAAGCAAAAACCGGTGAGAACATACGGAGAGAATAACAGCGGCAGCTCATTTCTGTACTTGGATTTGATGTTTGTGTTATGAACAAAGTCGTCTTGGTCACTGATCAGGGATCAAACATAATTGCTGCACTCGCACTGTATCATCGGCTGGATTGTCAGGACCATGTTTATAACACAGTACTCAGACGTGCACTTGATTGTGACGAACTACGAGACTGCGCACCAGAGGTCACACAGACTTTGTTGGCAGCAAAGGCGTTCGTAAGATGTGTCAAGCAAACAGGTGTAATAAGCCAGTTAACAACAACTGTCAGACAAATGTCAGACACCAGGTTCAGCACTGTGTTCCTTACATTGGATTCAATTAAAGAGGTATACACTGAGCTTCGTGAAAAACTTGACAAACGCGGAGAAAGCCGAAGAATCGACAGGTGTCTTAAGAGTTACTGCTGGAATTTCTTCGCCCATTCTACCAGGCTCAGAGCGAACTAGAGGGTGACCAGTATCCCACACTTAACCTGGTTGTTTTGTGGCATGAGCAGCTTAAGCGCTTATTCGTGAGCGACATCTCGAATGGCTGAATGGCAAAATCAAAATTGAGACGCTGCATAAACCTGCCATATTTCTATGGCCAAAATTCTGTCAGCTCCGCATGCTGTCTCAACCTGACAGAGAGGATATCCACCAAGAAGCCAGGTTTTGGATAGCCAGCTTTACCCGTGGTGGCGAGCCAGCTGTTGAACCGGCAACTAAAAGAAGCAAGACTGTAGTGGCAGAGTTTGAGGAGTCGATAAACGTGCCCCTGAATTAAACTGTTGATGAAGTTCAGCAATACATCAGCCGCAACCACGACATGGAAGAGGAGCGGGATCTCTTGGGTTGGTGGAAAAACAACAGCAGTTTTCCCATTACTGTCAAGATTGGCCCGTTTTATACTCAGCATCCCTGCAAGTAGTAGCAGCAGCAAGAGAAACTTCAGTGCTGCTGGAATAACTTTTAGTCAGAGGAGGACGGTGCTGTTCTCTTCCTTCACAACTCATGCTGAAAAGGATATATTTGTGTAAATAGTTGTTCAACACTTTCCGCAAACTCTGTTTTGAAGTTAGAAGTTCAATATTCAAGAGGAATTTATGACTGTTGCACCTGTGTTGTTACACAGCAACGTTTCATAATTGGTAACGACGTGCTTTTTCTCTGTTTAAACTGTTGGTTTACACATATTTGTTTACTGATGGATGCATGCAATCCTAAAATACAGCATCTTGCAAAACGTTATGTGTTGTGAGAAACCCATATCGGGTTTGGGTTGTAAATTTAACAGTTCGGGTCGGGTCGGGCCACATCAAATGATCTCGGGTATGGGCCGGGCTCAGGCAGACCTCTAGTTCTCAGTCGCTCCGCCTCCACCGCGGTCTTCCAGATCTCCGCCTCCGCCTCGTGTTGTTTTAGTATCATATTCATGGACATTTAGTTTGTATTCATGTGTTCCTTGGTTTCAGTTCCCGCTTCTCATTTGTTGTCATGGACATTCATTAATCATCACAGGTGTTATTCATTAGTTCCCTCATTTGCCTTGTGTTTATGTTGCTCTGTGTTGATATTAATTTGTTGGTTGTTGTGTTTGACACACTGTCTCGCTTGTGGATTATCTTCTGAGTTATTTATTCAACTTTATTTTGTGCTGTCACCATCTTCGTCTTCTTCTGGACTATACGTGACAGGTCCAATGATACTATTGTATTGCTTTGAAAATAAGACTATGGCAATGGTTTTAGGTGAGATTGGCTATGAATTCTAAGGTTCATTCTCTATATGCACACGTTTCTATGTTAGTTTCATTTCAAAGAGCCACACAGCCTGCCGCAACGAAAGACATATTAAACAATATGTGACCCTGGACCACAAAACCAGTCATAGCCAAAAAACATTGTATTGGTCAAAATGATCGATTTTTCTTTTATGCCAAAAATCATTAGGATATTAAGTAAAGATCATGTTCCATGAAAATATTTTGTACATTTCCTACTGTAAATATATCAAAACTTTTTGATTAGTAATATGCATTGCTAAGAACTTCATTTGGACAACTTTAAAGGCAATTTTCTCAGTATTTAGATTTTTTTTGCACCCTCAGATTCCAGATTTTCAAATAGTCGTATCTCAGCCAAATATTGTCCTATCCTAACAAACCATACATCAATTGAAAACGTATTTATTCAGCTTTCAGATGATGTATAAATCTCAATAATAATATGACCCTTATGACTGGTTTTGTGGTCCAGGGTCACATATGATAAAAATGACGATTTGAATGATTTTTCCAAAATTACTTGTAATATCTAGGGACATCAC